AGTAGTTTCCGTAGTATGTTAGATTTAATTTTTAATGGAGAGGGAGGTGTATTGTTGTAAATATTCTTTAGAATTATATCAATCTTTACTCTAATTGGTACATTAGTAAATAAACAGTCAACATCGAGTGAGGCTATGTTTTCATTATTAGATTGCATATGTGTGTGTGTGTGTGTTATGTCCAGAAATGATTAAACAATTTTATATTAATCGAAAAATCCCTTTACGAGAGCGCAGTGTTGTTTTCTCAGTCACCTTTTAAAAATACCCGTTGATATCATACATACATTTTTTAGCCTTCCTTCCTTTTTGGGATCGCCATTTGGCGCGTCATTACGATCTTGTTGATCTCGTCCTCACCTGAATTTCGCTCAGGGAAACGATAGAAATCGCTCGGCAGTGAGGCTGACGAGCCTATAGATGATGTGATAACAAAAAATAAAAAATGATAACTGAAGCATTAGTATCGAACAATTAAAAAAGAGGATGGATATTATCCTCAAACGTCCGAACTGGTAATCACAGTTTTCCTTTGCTTCTAAGCCGCACACTTTTCTGGTGTTCTCCATACTGAAGGCTTTCCACAATGTCGATTGCTGTGAACGGATTGCCTGCCAATTCCGGGGCGTCGGTAGGAGAACAATTTATTATTAAATTGATTATTAAATATTCTTCAAACGCTTCCCAAATCCTTTCAGTATTTCGCGCAATCGAATGTCCAGATTTCACAGAAAGAGACTTCAGAAACGATTTAGAACGTTTGTTTAACTGCCAAGTGAATATACAAAATATAATTACTGAAGGTAATTTTTCTTGCTCCCGTAGCCTCGGAATCAAGTACACAGACAAGACTAAAAGTACATTTTTTTTGCGTTTTACAGTTGAGGTCTATTGCTATACACACATTTATCATATATTAATTGTGTTTGCCCATTCCTTCGTTATTTCGCAAGACCATTACGCCTTGCCAATGCCTCATAAATAATGGGCTATTCCGTTTTGATCGCGTGGAAAGACAAAAGATTTATAAGAGATGCTACTTGGTTTCAGTGAAAAAGAAAGAAACATAAAAATGTTTAAAATCTCCTGCTAATACCTCATAAACCATTCCATTTTAATCGTGTGAGAAGACAAAAGACATCAGAGACGCTACTTGGTTTCAGTGTGGAAATGCAAGAAAGCAGTGACAATAGATATGTTTTACAAGTGTTTCAATGAAATGGAAAAAGTTGTCATTTTCAAATCTTTTCATTTGTACCCACTTACTTCTTAAAATGACGTCCAACATCAATATTTACAATTGTTATTGCAATATTTTGTTAAAGCTCAGATGTTTAACGATAACATAGCGGAATTTCTACGGATTATTTTAGTGTCGTAGAACTTGCGATGAGCGTACTCAATCATTAAATTAAGAATTTCGATTCATCAGAATATTAAAATTGCAAAACCATGAGGTTTTCTCAGGTTAAAACTAGTATATAATAATGTCCAATTACTCATTTCCAGACACACTGGTCTATTATGGCGTCTAACCAATCCCATTTACAGACACCTACTCAGGCACATTTGTGTTTGTTCAACACCTACAGAGCCAACATGTGGTTTATACTTCAACTATACTGGGCAGAACGTAATTACAGTTTCTGGGAGAGAGCGTATCACCTGGCGTGAACGGCACTGAAGAAGACACGAAAGCTCAAACCCTCTGTCACAATGACTTGGGTTTCCGTGCTAGCAGAGCGATTGACGGCTTCTGAATAGTTCTTTCTAGACAATCTCACTCAAAAGTCGAGAACTTAACCTTAAGTTGAATACAGCAATTTTGTCTTCGACAATAATGAACACTACAATATATGTCTTGTAATAAACAATACCCTGATGATGACATCGTGCTGTGTCGAAAGTACTCGGAATAAAAGAAATATGTATCAACGCGGCGATTTTCTCTCGTCCTCCAATAACGACACCAAAAAGCTTATCCGTGAATATGAAAGGATCCAACTAAAAATAAGTAGAAAAAAGCATCTAAATTATTCAACGAAACATATCTCAATGAAAACATGCTGCCAATATATATATATATATATATATATATATATATTGAACAATAAAAAATATTAAAAAAGTAAAATCTTCAGACACAATGGGTTGTAGATTAATATTCTTTCGCTTTTTTTATTATTTTTTCATTTAGATTCATCGACTAGTTTCAGCCAAAATGGCCATCATCCTGGTAGCAGTGAACTACAGACACACACAGACACACAGACACACACACACACACACATATATATATATATATATATATATATATATATATATATATATATATATATATATATATATATGCCGGAGGTTGTTTATTTATTTATTTGTGTTGAATTGTTTTGTTTGTCATTGTTTTTTGTTTTGTTTTGTTTTTTTATTTTTGTTTTGATCGGTGCTTTTGTTGACGCAGTAGAAGTTTGTTTGTATCGCTTGTTTGGATAGTTTTGTTTTGGTTTGGGAAGATAATTAAAGCTAAATAAAGAAACGACTTCCGGTAAAATAACCACCAAAATAGACTACCCACAATGCACCACTGACCCGTATATATAAATAGCCAAGAAAAATAACAGCACTCGTGGCCTGACGATTGCGTCTAGCATGAAACAGCCTCTAAGTGTTGACTTCAATGATCACTTTTATATTTACATACGCTCTATCTCTGATATTGAGCACTTTATCCCATAAATATAGCACACCTTAAAACTATATTTCTTCATACACACACACACACACACATACACACACATACACACACACATATATATATATATATATATATATATACGTTTTTTGTCACGAACTGTTCCTTTTTTGTGATGAAATACATTTTAATATGTCTGCTTCTATCGCTCCCATAAAATGTTGTACCACTTCAAAAATATTTTAAATATCTATGAATATCTATTTTAACAAAAGGAGAGGAAAAAACACGAGAAAACAGTGGCTCATAGAGAAACAGTCCAAGGGAAAAAAAATAAATGGTGGCATCGTTTGGCATAAGTGAAAAAAAAAAATGTCAGTTCAACAGGGAGGGGGATTCAAATGGTGCGAAAAATGTCGCTGTTTGAAGAAAATAATGTCTTTGCTTAAAGCAAAATTGCAGATTTATTACGGATGATGTGTCTGAGCAAATATTGGTAAAGGCTTTCAAAAAACTCACAAATGCTCGAAACCGAAATTGGATATACACACATGCACCTGAATATATATATATATATATATATATATATATATATATATATATATATATATATATATATATATATATATATATATATATATATATTGATACACACGTATATATATATATATATAAGTGTGTGTGTGTTTGTGCTTGTGTGTGTATATATATATATATATATATATATATATATATGTAGGTATGTATGTATGTATGTATATGTATATATTGATATATATTGCAGATGCCCATATAGGAAAGGGATCAACAAGACTGTAACAAAATAAAACCAATTGTACAATGTTGTGAGTATGCTGAAAAATAAATATTTGTTGTGTAAAAAGAATTCTTCCTTAATAATTAGGCAACATGTGTACAGATATACTACATTATATATATATATATATATATATATATATATATATATATATATTTTTTCATTAAATTTATATATATACATATATATATATATATATATATATATATTTTTGTGTGTAAGTGTAATGTGCGTAATGTGACTTTGAAATATATATATATATATATATATATATATATATGTTTGTATGTATAATTAAGAATAACTAGCCCCCAATAGAGTCTGCCTAAGATGGCACACTGGAAAAAATATGCTCAATGCCATAAAAAAATGGCAGAGCTTTAATATATTTTAAGTCAAATTACAAGTGGGCAATGACCGACCACGACTGCTAGTTTCATACGCTTTCACAAACGGTCGCTAGGTGTTTTTTTTCTTTTTACTTTTTTCTATTTTGTCTACCGCTCAGAATATTAGAGAAATCATAATCAAGAGAAAAGCCAGTGAATACTTAAAAGAAAATTAAAATGTATATTCTCTTTCTCTCTCTCTCTCTCTCTCTCTCTCTCAAATATATATATATATATATATATATATATATATATATATATATATATATATATATATACTGGCGAAAAATATGTTTAAGACCGATGGTTAAAGTTTTATTCATTTCAGAATATGTTTCTAATAAAACAATATCAGTTTTATTGCGTATGCAGAATATATTTCTCTTTCGAATGATGTAAAAATTGTATATTTTTGTACAACATGAAAAATTTTAAGGCTCGATTAATCTAAATGAGCCAAATTTGCCGGCAAAATAAGTTTAAGACTGCATGGATGCTATGCAAATTATTTGCAAAACGGATTGTCACATGGCTAATGCATTTATATAGTGTAATAACTGCGCATTATTATACAATTAATTCACTATGGGAAACCATCGTAGTCTTAGCCCAGTGACTAGATCAAAATAGTGTTACTTCATTAACAAAACGTTTCCTTTATGAACATAAGCAAGTAATTAAAGTGCAACAAAATGTCTTGTGTTCAGGCTTGGAAGTTTTACCAGGATATTGAACAATATAATGATAGGCAAAGATCAGGAGCTCCAAGAAAAACAACAGTGCAAATGGATAGACGAATTCATAGGCTTTCCGAAGCTTACCGAATGCTGACGGCCATGGATATTTACATTTGCAGACAATTATCTGATAAAACTGGCGTTAGTTTACATATGTAATAAGACATGCAGGAGCGAGGCTGCTTTGCAAAGTCATTTTCAACGTTGACGAGATGGCCCTCTTCTGTAAAGAAGTGTCGGTTATTAGAGAATCTAGAGGGCCAGGGTCTAAGCTGCGAAGCGATGAGCGTATAAGTACGAAAGTGAATGCAACAGTCTCCGACGGATCCCGAAGTCAGATCGCCAATTCCATTTTTTCCGCGCAGATGATTGTTACTTACCCACACACCCTTATCTATCTATCTATCTATCTATCTATCTATCTATCTATCTATCTATCTATCTATCTATCTCATTATGTTGCTATATCTATCTATATACCTATCTATTTAATAATGTTGCTATATCTATATATCTATCTATCTACATGGTGGGTGTGGCAAAACTTGCGCTAAAGGTTTTAGTTGTTTTTCTCATGATGCAATTCAACTAATTTTATGAAACCTGGGAAAAAGTGACATGAAATAGGTCTGGTTGTGCAGTTGAAATTGAGAAAGAACTCTTAAAAAAGGTGATGTAGACTCGATCCCGGAAGATATTCCCTCAGAGCGTGTATGTAACATCTGAGGGAACGTTGTTCTATCTCGTGCTGGATTTGCCAGTCTTCGAAAATCACATGAAAATCGGCAATGTAATGCCGACTATGCTAATATCCTTCCTGACAGACCTGGAGTCATGTTAGTTAATATATATTATGAAAAATAATAAAAATGGAAAATATTTTGTGTGAAACATTTAGGACTTCATCGGATGAAAGTGATTTTCTGTTGCTTCAACTACAGTTTTTGTTTTATCCATTTTCGTATAGTGTTTTTTACTTCAGCCTCTGCTAAAAAGTGTTGACCTCTCAACTTATCTTTCAATTTCAGGAACAACCGCAAGTCTAATGATGCCAAATTGTGGCCTCACGGAGGTGAACCTTCCATAATGTCGATTGTAGTTCAACCCGTACACACAGAAATAAACACTTGATATCTCCACTTCAAAGAATTAATATATTTATATATGTATATGTGTGTGTGTGTGTGTGTGTGTGTGTATTAATTAAATAATTAAGAAAGAGACAACCTTAACGTTACATGACTATAATTTATTTCTCCAGAAAATATATTTTTCCTGGTTCTTACCAAAGAAACCAAATTCCTTTCTATCTATCTATCTATCTATCTATAGGGGGGGCGAGGCAAAATTTGCAACAAATGTTTTACTTGTTTTTCTCATGAAGCAGTTCAACTAATTTATGAAACCTTGTGCATTTTATTATCATAACCTTGCAATAATAATTGCCCACATTTTTTTCAGATAATTATGTAAAAGATGAGCGTTGAGGAAAGCAAGCGTCAAAGGTTGTGTGATATGATAAACGCACATGTTCATCTGCAGAAGATTTGAAGCATAGTTTTTACTTTTAGCAAGTATTTATAAACAGAAGGAAAAATGTTAATTTTTCAGAAAGGTTTCAGTGATGTTGTTAAAGGAACCTAAGAACTCTTGAAATTAGTGTCAAAGCCTGGGAAAAAATGATGCATAAATTAGGTCTAGTTGGAGAAAGTAACTGTTGATAGTTGCAATCATTTTGATGTCAAAAGAATTGAGCATTTGAAATTGAGAAAGAACTCTTAAAAAAGGTGATGTAGATTTGATCCCGGAAGATATTCACTCAGAGCATGTATGTAACATCTGAGGGGAACGTTTGCCAGTCTTCGAAAATCACATGAAAATCGGCAATGTAATGCCGACTATGCTAATATCCTTCCTGACAGACCTGGAGTCATGTTAGTTAATATATATTATGAAAAATAATAAAAATGGAAAATATTTTGTGTGAAACATTTAGGACTTCATCGGATGAAAGTGATGTTTCTGTTGCTTCAACTACAGTTTTTGTTTTATCCATTTGCGTATAGTGTTTTTTTTACTTCAGCCTCTGCTAAAAAGTGTTGACCTCTCAACTTATCTTTCAATTTCAGGAACAACCGCAAGTCTAATGATGCCAAATTGTGGCCTCACGGAGGTGAACCTTCCATAATGTCGATTGTAGTTCAACCCGTACACACAGAAATAAACACTTAATATCTCCACTTCAAACCTGGTCATGTATTTGTCTAAACGTCTATGAAATAATAATTACAATCTGTCGAACTTTTCGTTTTGAAACTAGTAATTTATTTTCTTTTAGCTGTATTCATAATCTAGACAAATGAAAAGAAAAATAAGTTCTCTCTGAATTTATAGTATTGTTCTCAGTTGTCAATTGTCCTCATCTTTGTGATTGTTATCACAACATTTCCGGTGTTGTGCTCTGCAACCTTAATCAGATGTTTGTCTGTCCGTGTAACCTTCAGGGAATTCTTTAATCTACGGGTATAAAGTGTCCTCTTTCCACTGAGCACGTCTCAGGATATCTCGTCTGATTCTCATTTTAGTACTGTTCAGTTATTGCTCGCTAACCGGTCTAAGGGACTGAATTAACAATTATCATCATTAAATTCACGAACCAACATTTTAATCAACTCGGATTAAGAATTCTTGTAATTGAGCGGAATAAACATTTGCTCGGGAATTTGATGATATAATGATTGTGATTTCAATCCCTGGGTAGGACTATTCCGACTTGGACTCAGCGGAAACTGAGCAAACAGCAACTGAGCAGTACTCAGTAAGAACTAGATGATATACCTCGAGATATGGTCAGATGCAACTACTGTAGATTAAATAAAAGCTTACCCAGATCAACCTGGTGAAGGCTGGAGAACAAGATGGCTGACACTTTGTGATAATAACAATAAATATGGGGACAATAGTCCGCATGTAAATAATGAAAAGAAATGAAAGTTCAAAATAAATGTCTGAAACACTGAATATGAGATACAATAATATAAACATAATTCTTGTTTTGGTTTGTTTGTTTTTTTTAGCGCGTATTTCAGTTTATTTGAATCTTTTATTAAAAATATCAACTTCTGAAAATCCAGTCTTTAATCGAGCATATGACACCGAGTTTACAAGATTGACGGTTTTAAAAGTTATTCTACATACTTCTAAAAATCAGACTGACGGTCTACTCTTTTCTCGGGGATCATTTTGGTCCAGATAAGTAATTGCCGTCTAGATGAATATTTAAAATGCAATACAAAACGAATTCGAAAATCCTTCCCTTGATGCAACCAGTTTTATTCGTCGACATAACTGAACACAGGATGACCTCATCAGACAAAAGTTTCTTCGAAATTCTTGTTCTGCATGACCGTCTTGAACGCATCATTAAATATAAAGGAATGGTAATTTGTATTTGTTTATTACCTATGTTCCGGCTATTCACAAATGTGTATAATTATCTGTCTGTCTCTCAAGCTAACCTGATCTGATCAGATTCTCTTTCTTTCATTCTCTCCATATATATATATATATATATATATATATGTGTGTGTGTGTGTGTGTGTGTGTGTGTGTATGTGTTTAAATAAATAAATATATATATATATATATATATATATATATGCGTGTGTGCGTGCGTGTGTGTGTGTTTAAAATAGGATACAGAAAAACCAACAATTTTTTTTTTTAAATTTGTAAAATGGAAAACGTTTCACGTTTCATTGAAAATAGATTTGATTAGGCGTTTCGACATTCAAGGCTTCATCAGATCCAAAAAAACGAAAGAATAAAATGTGTCTATGTATTTGTATGCTTAAAAAATGAATCATAGTATTTTCCCCTAAGCTGTCATTTCAGCCGCTAATATTTATTCTGGTATCTTTTGTTTACAATTCTTAGTTCAAGTCGAAAGTTGTTAATGTATCATCCCAGCTTATTTGTAACGAATTAAAAGCAAATCCTCTTCGCATACACACAAATACACATATCTCTTTCTTTTGTTTTTGGATTTGATGAAGTCTTGAAAGGCGAAACGCGTAATCAAATCTATTTTCATGAAACGTTTCCCATTTGTCATATATATATATATATATATATATATATATATATTAAAAAAATTGACAAAAGGAAAATGTTTCATGGAAGCTAAATGTGATTACGCGTTTTGCCATTCAAGGCTTCATCAGATGCAAAAACGAAAGAAAGAAATGTGTATTTATGTGTATACTTAAATAATGAATCATGGTACATTTTCCCTAAGTTGGCATTTCTCGTGATTAAAGAAAGAAAATGAGTGACTTTTAAAAACAGCCGCTAATATTTATTCTGGTAACTTTTCTTTACAATTCTTAATTCAAGTTGAAAGTTGTTGATGTATATTCCCATCTTGTTTGTAGCGAATTAATGGCAAATCCTCTTCTCATTATGAGAATGGCTCGAAGGCAAGAAATTCATTTAGTCTTTCCTTAAACGAATCCAAGGCAAATCCTTATAGAATTCTTCAGAATGGCTTGAAAGTACAATATTTATGCGTTTTCATGTCTCCATGTGTGTTCCGTGTCGACAATATATTTTTTTTAAAATATAATACAGAAATTCCGACAAAGTTGTTAAGAAATTTTACAAATGGCGTTTCTCGTGATTAAAGAAATAAAATGAGTGATTTTTAAAAATTTAGGATATGTAACCCGGAATACCTAAATGAAGAAGAGAAATATATTGAGAAAACTTTCAAACTATACACACCATTTTATCCTCAACACTAAAAACGAGTTTACAAAAGCCCCCAGCCCCCAAAAATTAAAAACAAAAACAAAAAACAGACACAATCAATAAAACTTCTAACAAAAACTACACAAAATTTATAATACTGCCCTCCAACACTCTGGTAATCTCTCAAACAAATTAGTTATCCCTAATGCTAGGATCGTTACAACCATCCCCAAGACAATCAGAGATATAATTAGGAAATAAAATAAACCCAACACCAATTTAAATGCCGGGATTTATAAAATAAATTGTTTACAATGCAAAAAATGTTTATCTCGGGGAAAATATCACGTGATCTAAAATCCTGCACCTACGAACACAAGAGAAACTTGCGTTTGGACAAACAATCTAACTGTCTAGTTTTGCATCGAAACGATGCTGGAGATAACTTTAATTTCATTGATGCCGCCCTAGTTGAAAAAAAAAAGAACATAATTCTCTCAGGAAAAATACATTGAAAACTTAATGATAACATTATTACCAACAATAAACACAAGTTTAAACATTCTCGAAGCCCTTACATTTAATGGACGTTAATCCAGTGTGGTATACTGAACAATAGAGTTTGTCCACTTTCCTGAAAAATGGATACTGGGACTTAAACTAAACTAAAACTTTATAATTATTTAACACTACCTGTCTATAAGCCTCCCTCCAACCCATATTACTTCTCCTTTGTAGTCTGAATTGTTTGTTTGTTTTTTTTTAATAGATAACTTGCCCATTGCGCCCCCGAGCAACTCTCGTCACCCACTTCTCCCAATGAGTCTTTTAGTCCTCACGTACATGAGCGAGTTTCTTTTGGTATCTTTAGGTCTCGGACCGGTACAATGTTTCTGACCCAAGGAGTTCTATTGCTTTGACTTCTGTGCAGACACAAGATGTCCACTCGGAGTATCACGTATGTATATACTTTCCTGGATTGATTGTTCCTTTATTAAGGGCACTGAAGGTAGACACTTTCTCGGCTTTGGCGTTATCCGCCTGATAGTCAGGGATCCGAACCTTCGAGTAACTCCGTAGAATACTATCCTATCAGCAGGTGTATATCGGGCTATTGTACTCTCATTTTGTGAATGGGTTCTGGACCAAGCAGTAGTCTCTAGTGGGGCCTCTCGATGCCATGATGAAGGGTACTACTACGGCTGCATTTCTGGACAATTCTCTCCAGGCTATTTATACAAGCAACTCCTGTGGGTGTGTCTGTTTCATTACTTACTAGTCTTCCATCAGCCAATAGACACATGAAACCAATCAAAATAAAAATGAACAAAACTAACAAACCCAACTTTAAAAATCAAAATAGACAGTACGTATACTATCTCCTACACCAACGTGAGGGGTCTACGTTTCAACTTTCTAGAAGTGGAACATCATCTTTTTCAATCCGAACCAGAACTTCTTTTACATTCTGAAACCGGTATCAAGATTCAAGCACGCCTGATGAGCTCATAGTCTCGTGCTACTCACCTCTTATAGCAAAACACGACCACCTATACCATCACAACCATGCACATCAGGGTAAATTTCCCTGTGACAAGGAACCTGATATTCCATGTGTGCGCTTCCGCGTGGTTCTTATCCATAGTA